AGTATTGTACTTTCGTTGTTTTTCTCCTTGCAGTTGTATACATTGTATTCGAGTTTCTAACGAATATTTTCATACATAAAATTAAAAGTTGAATTTTAGTAAAATTTTGGAAGGGCTTTAATTGTTTGTTTCTTTTAATTTTTAAGTTTCGGGCAGATTTTAGGGCTGTGGAGACACAAACGCAGTTGACATTACTGACATAACCCACTAAATTCTCAAATCAATTTATGAATTTCCAATATGACGACAGAGTATGAGCTGGTAGGAGACTGGTTGAGCTGGAAAGTGTTCAACCCTACGACATACCATAATTTTACGACAATACCACAATTTTTGATTTTTCTATCTATTTATTGTTAGTAATGACTTCTGTGTTCTTGGCATTCCTGGTAGATATCTTTAGTGATGCGATATTCACTTTCTGTAACGCTCTCTTCGGGATAAGTGTATAGTGTCGTAAACTTTACGCTCCGCGCCTGTTCTAAAATTGTATTATAATTTGGCATAATCGAAATGTGTAAAATCTCCACAGAAAGAATCCACGTGAATGTAATTCAGAATATTCAAGAAACGTCTCATAGTGACGAAGATTATAATTGGACACTGGATGCGTCAAGAGTGTTGAAAAAAAATGGACAGCATCAGCATGATACTGAAGCGGAACAACATTCAAAATTTACTATTTCGGACACTAAATAATGTTTATAGACAATTCATACGATTTTTGTTGAAAAATACTAATGCTCAGAATGGCGTGACAGTGTATAATTCAATTTCATACAAATAAACTCATAATGTAACTACTATCCGATTTGAGACAAGGTAGATATATCAAATACACTTTGCGATAGGAAATTGTGGTATTTCTAGGATTATTATTCAGAAATGGGAATACATAATATTCTGAAATATAATGCGTCATTAAATGGCAATGTTTTACAACTTGTTATATTCAAGAAACATTGAATGACGTAAACTTGACGCCACACGCCTGCCGGTAGGAAAATTTTACGCGTGCCCGTTGGAAGATTTAACTTAGATTTTCGAGACCCAGGCCCTCCGGTTATTTACCTCCCCCGCCCCCCACGTAATATACAAGTAAAGGATTTCTTTTTGAAATATCTGCTACGTTTTGAAAGTTCGGCTCATCTGGGTACAGCCCACTCCCTGGCAAGGGATGGGCGTGCAGTATCTAGAATTCTTTTAAAACAAGTTTCGCTGAAACGATTTTCTTCGCGTGGGTGCGAGGGAAAGAGCCGGATGTTCGGGGTTTCTACGTGCCAGAGCTCTCGCTAGAATCCAGTGTGATTGATTACCATGTGCGACACCTGCGGTGTAAAGCGCTTGGGGGGGGCTAAATCAAAGGTCGGGAGTTGCCTTCGCGGCGGCGCTTTCCTCGCCCACACGAGTGGTGCCCAAGTGGCACTTCCGGGATATGCTTCAAGATACGTAATTCTTAGTATACCAAGATGCTCACTGGATTACATAATACTCTTTTTATACATTTCCGTTTATAATCCTCTGTTGCTTCTTCCGAGTGACAGCCCCGGAGGCTTAACACCGGAAGGCATCGCCGGAGTTTTTGTCGCTTCGAGGCAGCACGTCCGGCATACACGTGCAAGATCAGCCGAGTAACGGGAGGAAAATATTTGTCATTGGGCGTATTTCTTCTTCCGCCCCTGGTAACTTCAGTTATTCCTACGAAATGTTGATAGCATTTTGGAAAATTCAAACATTTCTGTATTAGTGTCGGAATGAAGACTATTATGTTAACTTAGTCCCAACTCAGCTCATTCTCACGTTTGAGTGTAATTTTGTTTTTCGTCTTACAAGTACTTCAACAGTAAAGAGAAAACATCGTAATGCTGATGCAAAAATTATCTGGTTTTCGACAAAAAACATTCTTACTGTAGGACCATGGTAACGAAAATAGGGATAATTTTGTTCCAATATATAATAAATTACTTCCTCCAAACACAAGTGAGAATCAATTTTTTGTGGTTCCATAACACCGAAAAGCTCATTGACGACAAAACATGTTTTGTCTGTGGTCTCCGCTTACGCCTTTCACACGATTTTCTCCTCCCTCTGTTTGAGTGATGACTTGGCCTCTTGAATTTGAAACTACCTGATTTTTACGAGTAGTACTTTACATAAAGCCTCAACATTTTCAACATTTTTTCAAAAATGGCTCCGCCGTTTTTTTAAGCTTTCTCCGCGGATAGAGCAAAAAACGTTTAAAAATGGCCGAAGTCACATTTTCGTTAAAGTCTTTCGATTTTCGAAAACTGCACAAAGTCCCTATTTTTTCGACGTCTTCCTAAAACTACATAATTGAAGCTATATTTTTATCTCAATAAAATCTGTTTAAGACATCTTGAAATATAGCTTTTTCCTCTGTGAAATCATGTCGATTTAAAAAACAAACGAACAAAAAACTAGTAGTAGCTTTCGCGTAATTTTTGCTCAAACAAGACTCCACTTTTTTTCATTTCTTTTTACTTGAATAGAATAAAGTACTTTAATGAAAATGACAAAGGGCCCCATTTTCGATCAAATGTATTTCCGAAAATTGTAAAAATTAACTTTGCAAAACGAAAATATTGACGGGGTAGTATTATTTAAAATTATGTTTTGAAATAATGTAATTAAAATATCTGAACTGTTGAAAATTACAAATGTAAATGTTCAAATTTGTTTTTAAAGCATTGGGAGGATTAAGTTTAGTTGTGAGGCTGGAGATTTACGGGTAATGAGAACGGCGAGTTCTAGCATGAGCTAGAGTGACCAGCGCTAAAAAGGTACCTGATCTAAAACACTTTTCTGGTTCGTGTAGTGTTAAAATATTGCGATGGCATTACAAATAATGCCCAAAAGTATGGGCTGTTGCAGCACCACTTCTTTGAAATGTAGTACAGCGTCTTCTACAGATTTTTTTCCATATGTACTTAGTTTTTTTATATTTGGCAGGATTTCCTTGATTCATCAAGCAAAAGATGAATGACCTCTCGTTTTGTTTCACTCTCACTTCGAGGGCTGAACGATGCGAGGTTTTCGAGTAGCGTCCGCCAAACTGTCACGAAAGAAACCTGACGGGATAACTTTTCCGTGTGCCCAATTTAAACACGTTTTGTGAAAGTGCAATTTGTCATCTCCCGGTAAATTCTCTTTCTTTTGACACCTCCTGTTAGGAATGGTTGTCTGCGGGCAGAAGTGGACTCAACGTCATATGACCTCGGTCATGAAAATGGACCGTCACGATTGAAGGTAGCCCATCAACAGGAGAGCTTCGGGGCGCCCAAATATAATTTCAGAAAGAGGTGCCATAAAAAATGCACAAATGCAAGACATATGACTGAAAATTAGAAATAAAAAATCTACAAAGAACAATGCCTTAAAATTTGACAAAATGGGGCATTAGGAAATCTTATAGGGACAGAATAAGGAGTTCCACAAGAACTTTTGTGTACTCCTCTAAATTTTGTCAAGAGTTCGCTTGAATACACATGTTTTCCTAAAATTTAGAAATGCCTCGTTATGAGAGACATAAATGGGCCACTTTCTCTATATTGCAAAACTAATGTAGGTGATGAATCAGTAGCGGCGCCAGGCACAAGTAACCGCAAGTAACGTCACTGATGCGCCGCCTTCCGGCGGAATGATTTCCGGCCCCAAACCGCGCGAGTCGCTCGGGATCTGAATGCGACAGAGGGGATGGTCGAAAGGCAACGCGAGGGCGGGGGCTACAAGATATTACGGTAGGTGAAGAGCGATTGGAAAGCTTAGTTTTGTTAACGAATACTTTTTACGGTCCCAAATGACTTGGTGCACAACAAAAACATAACTCCACCTAGTCGTGTACGATTGCGAATTCGACGAAGCGTTTCATCCCAAAATTGTCTCCGATTCCGTCCATTTCGCGCAGTTCAGTGCGGCCCGGCCCGCCCGAAAGCGCCGGCCCGCCGGCCACTCTGAACACACTCGCGGGTTGCTATGGACGGTAGTGCCATCGGCGATATCAGATGTTTCTCCCGAAGGTTGCAGTATCCTTCCCCTGGTTCGCAAGATCCGGCGCTAAAGTCCTTTCCCCGTCACGACAAGCTCTACGCTACCGACTGGTGTCTAGACGTGTGTGACAGAATAACAAGTGTAAATGAGTATGCAACGGGAGAGGATAGGGCAATGAAGAAGAAGGAACGACCGCGGACTCTCCGGGCCAATTTGTCACCAATAGATGAAAGAAGAATAGCCGATAGAAGAAACTGAAGAGTTGGAGCAGGACCAACTCGGGCGCCCACCAAAATGCTCCATGCACGTGTGTCTCAGCCTTCCTTTTTCGAAGTATTTCCAGGAGAAAAACCTGGGGATTTCTTACTAATGACATTATAAACAAAAGCAACGCAAATGCCTTCTCGCCTGCCCATGCAGGGCAAATCGTGCCCCCTTGCGCGTGGCGGCGAGCGGACGCGACGCGCTTCCGGGGCCCGCCCACGTGCGCGCCACGTGGCCCGCTCCCGCAGCCCCGGGCGAGGACCAGGCCGGCGTCACAACCCCGCTCGAGACACGCGCGCTTTACGCTACTTTTCTCTGCTTCATGTTGCAGAGTCTCCATGACGCCGACGCGGGTCACCCAGAGACACGCAAAACCTCCTTCCTCAGTCTCACGCATGTTTCTAAGCGACAAAATCTACCCTTGCTTTCTCAACTGGGAATGAACAAACGACGGGGATGGTGCGTGCTACCAGATTATCGCTTTTGCATAGCACTTATGGCGCCCTACAGCTAAAATCCATTTCGTCGACAGTACCCACACAGACTTCGGACTGAAAAATGTCGGACTGGAATCTGAAATTCGCTTTAATTGCCCGCGAAAGCTAAAGCGGCGAACACGAGGCTACGCGCGGCAACGTTGTCTCCGCTGACGTCCAACAGCCGAGCACAAAAACCAATGGTGCAACAAATACATACATCGGTTTCAGGCAGATATTGTCCAAATGACAATGACGAAAATAATAGGAAGAATTCCACAGTCCCAGCACAAGTCAGTCAACAAGTACCGCTGATCGTCGGACATTCCCGTGTGCCAAAGGATTGTTGTAAGGGACCCGCGGTGGGTCAGTAATAAGTAGGAATGAACTTCGTGCAAATAAATGCAGACTAAAACAAGAGATCTCCCATATCCATTTACATTTGTTTTATTTATGCATAACATTCTACCTATACAACACTTTTGTCAACTTTTGAATTAGAAAATTTATTTTTGGGCGGTTGCAAGAGGATTCGTATCTATCTAATGTCTGTTCGGCGTAGTTTCGTAAATTTTTCGGCGTTTTCAACTGTTGTTGTCTGCTGTTAGGCTTTTTGACGTATTGAACTGAAATTAACTCTGATTCAGTCGCAAATTATAAATGTGGAAATACAATTCCAAGTAACCCCGGTCTGAAGATCTATTTAAATTATCGCAAATACAAAGTGCATTTAAAATTTGCAAGTACTAATAATAAAAAGGTAAACTGTTGCACATCCATTTGTCATCACTATATTTGAAGTGGAGTCATTTGTTCTGTTGACCATATTTTGTCGGGAAAGTAATAATGCATACGGTCACTGCCCCCTGCGCGGGCGTACGTGGCCAAATACTCGGGTCACGTGACCGAACAGCGTGCCAACTCGCAAACAGAGCAGGCGGCCGCGGCCGCGATGAAGGAAAACAGGTGATAAGAGGTGCCGTGCCCCGCCTCTCCCGCCTTCAGAGGCACAATGCCCGCTGCCTCTCCAGGCACTTGCTGCTCACCCGAGGAGAGGGGCCCTACATCTTCCCACAGCACAAAAATCACTTGATTAAAAAACTTCGAACTACCCATAAAGAACGTGTCAACGATTTACTTTCAATTACAAATAAATTAATATTTATGTATCAAAATGCTGATTAAAAATTCAAATTTAATCGTATTTAACACGTACGAAAAAACCACCAGTAAAAAGTAAACAAAAATAAAAAAACACTACATTGAATACTCCCATTTTCTCACAAAAAATAAAAACAAGTCTTGTACAAACATCTTTAAAATGAAATGAAAATAGTTTCACGACTTTTCTACACGTGCTACTATATAATCCGAACATTGTTCATATTATTAACGAAAATTTGTTATTGGTAGTTCAAACGAGTTTGCAACCTCTAAACTATCGCGGAGACTAATTCTCAGACGCACCGCATTCGGTGTTTCGGACGGAGTAAACGTTTTAGTCAAGTTTTCAGTCGCACACTTAGATCTCACACCGTCCAGATAAAACTTCCAACAAGGATGAACATGGCAGAATCTTCGTAATTATATATGTTAAAGCAGCGATGTAAGAATATGTTTTTCATAAGTGATACGTTTCGTTGCCACAAACATTTAAGCCATGGTTTTCAGCTTTGACAGTGCTCAAAAAGGAGAGGCATATGGTTCCTGAAAACAGACAGGGTGGATAAATTATAATCTATGAATGTAATTACAAGCAAACCACGTAAAACGTAAATATCACTTCCCATTCTATGGAAAAACAACTGTATGGCGCCAGGCTATGCCTTTTTGGGGAGGGAGGTACAGGGCTTAGCAAAAGTTGACTGCGGCACGCAGTCGGTATATCGATGATTGACAATCTCGTATGTTGAGAAAACATTTTGCAGTTTCATAATGTACACATGGCTAAATTTAGGAATTCTACCTTTTGTATAAGCACCTTACGAAAACCTCCCACGAGGCTCTTACCACATACGAGACATTTATCATCAATGAATTAAAAAGGTTACATAGGAGGTTATTTATTGTCTACTTTAAGATTTACATTTTCTCGTCAAACTAAAGAAGAAGCAAATTTTGAGGCTGTCCATCATGGAGGAGGAGATGTGCCCGGCGAGGGCGCTCCCTGCCCCATCTTGCGCCCTGAGCGTGCCTCCGCAGGGCGGGTCCCGCCGCGCGCGTGTAATGTGCGGGGGGTGGGGTGGGGGGTGGGGGGGGGGTGGGGGTGCGAGTGTGTCTATTCCGGGCCGCGCCGGAGCAGCGCTGGGGCGGAGAAAGCCGGCGGCGCGAGAAAGCGCCATCGCCCGGGGCTCCGCGCGGCCGCGTCTGCTCCGCCCCTCCGCAGCAGCCAACACTCCACGCCGCCTTCGAGGCTCCTTCCTGTCCTTTTACTACTCCCAAACCCAAGCCGATTCGAGAATGTCAGAGAAGCCGGAACGCCGCCTTCTCTGTGTGACGCTACAGGGAGAAGTGAATTCTATATAAGTTTTCATTATTCCTAAGCCATATACTAGTTTCATTTCTAATATACAAAGAAATTAGGGATTTTTTTCCAGGAATGTTGACAAAATATTCGGTCCGACGTAATAAAATATGTTTTCAAGGGTAAATTAGCTCTAAATTAGGGCGGCACTTACCTATCATGTTCTTAGTCAAGGAATAATACTTCCTGCCGCGACATCACGGGGAACGATAAATTGAATAACTATATTTCCTACTGAATTCTAGAAGACGTGCACAGATAATGAATTTGCATTTAGTCCAGAAGCAAAACAAGGGGCCATCTCGGCATTTGCGCAAAGTAAAAGAGAAACTGGACGAAAAACCTGATCGAGATGGGAGACAAATGACGAATGCCATTAAGAAAAGATTACGTGGGAATAAAATGCAGGGTGTACATGAATAAAATGCAGGGTGAACGTGAGTGCGTCTCATCTAAATGTAGGAACTCTTACGTCTCATCTCCCATAGGATTTCAAAATTATTGCGGACTATGACTACCACACATTCAAGCTTCTTGGCATTCGAAATATTTGAAAAAATATTAAGTGGTGTTCTTCAAATATCTCTCATTATTAATTCCCTACAAGTGCGGAAACTTAAAGATAGAGACCACATGAGAGGTGTCTATGGTTTGGTCAGATACTCAGAAATGTCACCATTAAATATTTCCGATTCCTTCGAGTTGCGTTATGGAACAAAAACTTTTTGATTTTCTTGGAACGTAAATATGTGTGAATGTTACAAACTTCTAGAGCACTCAGAAATGTAGAAAAAAAGGTCACATTTGCCACTGAATGTGAGGCGGGAAATTGAATGTAACGTTACGAGCATCATATAGTATTTCCCCTGGATTTTTGCTAGCCCCATGTGTGCAATGTTCGCGGGGACCTTAAAACCTATTTACGCGGAACGTGACCTGTGCACGCGGGGACACCTAATATTCAGCGACAAACAAATGTGTGAATTCACATTACCCCATACACGTGATTTTCTTTTCTTTGTATTACATTATATTTTTATCGGCAAAAAATCAGTTTCGACCCACTCTACATGCCTTAGAACATTGTAACATTTATTTTGAGACACGTGTGTTTGGGTCTACACACACACACACAAAATACATAATGGTACACAGATGAAAATTTGTATTAATTTTGAAATGAATCAAATTATATTTGAACTATATTTAAAAAAGATTATTACACGATAAAAGGCACGAAGCAGTTTCCCCTGGTTTCCAATTCCGCACACAATAAAAGCGACTGCACTAAGAACATGGGAATTCGCTGTCTCAATAGTATTTCATTGCCACTTAAAAAGGGATCGCAAGCATTCCTTGACGTGTGTTAAGCATGGAATGGGTAACCTGAGATAAGAAGCAACTGATACACCTGACATCTACTGATTTACTACATCAAGACCTTGATTTATTGCAATCTGGTTGATAATCAGACGCACCAAAAGACCGCCCGAGTTCATACAGCTCGCAGTCAACGCAGCAAACAGAAATGCAGCTCATGCCAGACATAATCAAATATTGCCTTCCCACATTACAGATTAAACATTCATATTACCTTACAACCTGTCGTGATAAGATAGACTAGACATACTGAAAACTTAATAAACACACGAAAGTAACAGCAAGGAAGAGAAAAGAAAAAAGGAAAGGAGGTAAGGGATGAGAGAGAAGTAATAAACTGACAAGTTTTCTGAACAAACCAGTTGAGTACATCTTCGCTTCCGTATTTGACTACTTACGTGAAAATTTATGAGCAATTAATTTTATAATGACCCATGGCGTAGAATTTACGTACCTCAAATCTGAAATGCTCATCTAGTTGCAATGTTCAATGAAATACAGCGTTATTTCCCTGGTCAACCAAAGCAATTACATCTGTATCGCATTTTTGCACAATGCTGCCGCACTAAAATATTCTATACACAAAAATTATTTGAATTACAAATTCCCTTCATGTAGTCGTAATCCACTGGGACGAAACCTCTATTATTCTAATTTTCTATATGGGCAGAGATAGAAAGAAAGTATGTTGCCTCTGGCATTTTAACGAAGTGTCAATGATTTCGTTAGATACCCAAGAACGGGTCAAAAATTACCATTATCATTAATTTTGAACATGCTCAGAAATTTAAAGTACGCTATGCACCATTCGGACAGTTAAGAGATGCCTACACCTATCATTAAGATGCCCAGACACTGGAGAAAACTCCAAAAACCAAGTTTCTATTTCAGCTGAAAATTGCAAATATTTGATTATGTTATTTCGCCTGTTCTCATGTGCTCAGAGCGCCAGTGCATAGGATACGACTGACGTCATGCGACAGCAAAGCTACAAGGAAGATGCCGTTCGACATTAAATATTTACTTTTTACTGTGCTATTCACAAGTTACCTAATGAAACGGCAACTTTTGTGAAATTCTTGATCTGTTAAAAACTGTTGTACTGCAAACTCACTAAACAACCCACCGTTAAGTACGTCAGTACTGACAAAACCAAGATTCAAAAGATTCGTAAATAGACAAGGCAATGGCAACATTCCAAGCTCAAAGAAGAGACTTGCGAGGAACACATAGGCAATTGCTTATTATTCGAACTTTTTTTTCTACGTTCTACTGTAAGTCTGGGTACTATAGGTTGTACTTCCCATTCTACTATATTATGCCGCATCACAGGCATGGGTATTACTCGCAGAAAGTCTTACGAACTGCATGAAAGATGTCAATAGCAAAGAATTCTGCAGACGTAATATGAGTTTAATACTGAATCCAATACATTTATATATATATATATATATATATATATATATATATATATATATATATATATATATATATATATATATATAATCATATTGCATTTCAGGTTACACTGGATTGAGAGAAACTGGCAGTTTGTTATCAGCAAATTTGGTACTCAATTTCAAAGACTCGTGTGTTTCAAATGCAAAACTGTATTAACCCTTTTTCCTTCATTTATTATTTTTTTAACGAAATCAATTTTAAATAACTAAAATCTCATTGCTTGTTTTTTTTTAGTTTCTCACACTTACTTCAAAAGAAGAGAAAGTATTGTAATCGTGCGCTGGAAACTTCCCATTTTCTACAGAAAAACACTGTTGGGCTCAGGTAACGGAAAGTGAATAAATTTTGTTCATTTATGATCAATTACTTCCTCTAACACGTAATTAGAATCCGTTTTGTTGGCCCTTGATACCGAAAAATCGATTGGCGGTAAAATGTGTGTCAAAGCTAGCGCGTAACACATTCAGTCGATTTTTTTCCAAAATTGATATTCCTAGATCAATTTCAATTCATAGAGACCCTCTCAGCTGGAAATGGAAATTTTGATTTTGGGTGTATTTCAGAGTTCCTAAACATTTTCAAAAGTATATCATCCCCAAGCGGGGCAAAGATTGGGAGGGGGAGAAGAGTTATTTATAAAAAATAATTAAAAAAAGAAGGCAGGGCAGGAAGAAAGAAACTAGTGGTGCACCAGAGCACATACTTTTATGCATTAATTCTAGATTTGCAATTTTCGAAAATCCAGAGTTCAACAAAGATAAGTCCAGCGTCATTTATTTAAGCATCCTTCTATCCGTGTGTGTGTGTGCGGGGAGGGTATTTTTTTACCTATATTACTATATTACGCGTACAGTACAAGAAAACTACTAATAGTTTAGAAAAATTGAACATTAACGTATTTAAAGATCCGTCTTTAACGAACAGATTTCATTAAGGAAAAAAGCTATCTTCAATATTATAGTTGTAGTAAAACGAAGAAAGAAAAAAAAACGTCCTGGACAAAGTTTAATAAAATTTTTGTGCCATTTAATGCCATTTTTGAGAGAATTTTGAAAATGTTTTTGAGGCTTCATGTAAAGCACCATCAAAAATCGATATTTTCGTTTGAAACCTCCAAAGCCTCAAGTCCATTCTGACCGGTCGAGGAGAATCAATTTTGATGGAGATCAGTTGAACGGTCTACGCGCCAGTGTTGTCCACAGGTGGACAGACGGACGCTTTGCCGTCAATCGATTTTTAGGTATCACGTCCCACAAAACATTGATTCCGGCTACACCACGTGTTAAAGGATTTTTTTCTGAATTGAGCAACTGCTTATCCCCTTTTTCGCTGTCATGGCTCGGCAATGGTTTTCTGCCGAAAATTAGCCATTTTCGGCGCACGATCACAAAAACTTCTGTTTAAGAAGTACCTTTGTAAGAGCGAGAAAGTAAGAGAGACAAGACGTAACAGAATGGAATGGAACAGAGTAGCCTCGGGCTGGGGGGGGGGGGTATGCGACATCGATGTCTGCTTTCAAAACATCAATGCGTTTGTAGAAACATCGATATTTTAAACGTCGATGTTTTTCTTTTCCGATGTTTTGGTTCTGAATGAAAACTTTCCATGATCACAATACTGTAAAAGTTACAATACGAAATAATAAAGTTTGTTTTGGAACAAAAGGAACGCTGTTTTTATTTCCTTCATTGATCCAACTCTCTCGTCCGTGATGGCCTCCATGCCCTTGTATTTCCTCTTTATTCGTATTCATTTCGCAAATTGGGGCAAGATCAAGAAATATGCTGTGAGTTAGGGTCTGCCTCTTCTTCTCGTGCCCTTATTCGGGAAATTGATAAACACGAACACTGTCGAATTGAATGATAAGGCACACAAATTTCATGTTAGAGGTAACTAATCCAGTGTAAACCGTGGACGGCTTTTAGTCGATAAGTGTTTTGTTATCGATGGCGCACCCCTAGTCGTGCGCGGGGGGGGGGGCGTGGGCTGGCGGTGGCGAGGCGGGGGCGGGGGCGGGGGCGGAACGCGGCGCCGTTGGCAGGTAGGTTCGTTGGAGGGCCGCGGCCCAGTTGGCGCCCGGCCCGCCCCGCCTCTGCCCCCCGCGCCACGTGGCTCGTGCACTGTTGCAGCGGCTGGCTCTCCTCAGAACGCCGCCAAACAAAATAGTTTTTTTTTTTTTTTAATTTTATATTCATCATACTTTCATGGTTATTGGCGCAACAAGGTACCCGCATCGATTTTGTGTCGTATTAAAATAAACTACGTTGTGAGATCCAGTTTGTCAAGGCTCACTTAAAATGATAAAGTACATAAAATATTGATATTTGAAAATTGAGGCACCGCATGGTGGACCAAGACATTAAAAAATTTTCATTAGATTTCATGTCTGACCAATGTCAATGAGGAGATGCAAATGTATACGTCCTCGTTCTGAAAAAGTACAGCTTAACAGACATACAACATGAAATATATGTTATGGCTACTCCGTGAATTAGCCAGTCGCGTTATCCAAATTTTACAAACCCATTCACATTATCCAAAATGAGTGGATAAAGCCCGAGAAAGGAACACCGTTGAAGTACACCGAACTGTAGCAGTATCCCTACGGTAGAATAAGTGCATTGTGGTGGCCAGACAGCAAACACGCTGCCGGTGCGAAGTTTCCAGCTCCAGTGGGAAACAAGGTGTACAGTTTCGAGTTTATATGCTCCAGTCTTTTTTACACGATTCCACCGCATTTAACATCAGTTGAACCCCCGCCCTTTTTACACGCATTTTTTGGAACTAGCGGCTTTCCCGAATTCTATAAAACCTCGAGCTGGTGCAATGTACAAATTCCAAACCATTTTTTGCCCAAATACTAACTTTAAATACACAAAAACACCTCACAGTTTGCTTTCTCCAGACCTGAGATTAATGCCAACAGTAGAATACAGATCGAAATTACCTGTTCATCCACATTCCCTCCGCCTAGTTAATGTGCGGATTTCCTGGCTACCCTAACACGTATTTAGGAAGAGTTTGTTCGAACCTTTCTTTTAATCCTGATACACGTCTCATTTCTCACATTTTTTCACGTTAAAATAGCTCAACGTATCTCTAATACACTATTCTTCCATCAGTAGTCCTCGAATGACGATGTATGAAGCATGTCTGGCCAAAATTATTTATTTCTCTTTACTCTAATTTTACGACTACTGAAGTGAAATCTATATTTTCCGTATACTTTATGGTAAATGTGTGTTTCAACTAATTCACTTCGGACATTTTCGTACTAGGACCATTTCACTATATTCGTCTTTTCAATATTTTTATACTTGGGTATGGACTTCGCGAGCAGAAAGCCGTGGATGGAAAAACTTCACAACTTTATCCTAACGCATTCCTGGAATGAAACCACATAGGGCCATTTTCAGTCCAAATGGAGACAGTCCCGATTCAAGTTTTAGCTACTTCGCAGAGATTTCATTAAGTTACCTAGGGAGAAAAGCGGTAACATTTTACAAGAAAGCCCAACTGTACCATGATTGAAGAAAGTGAATACCACGATCCATTTTCAGGAACATTTTCTATAGATAATTCTTTACATTTTAATTTCTTTTACGCGGCACCGTTGAATCTTTGGAAATCTATGGAATCTTTTTCAACAGCAAATATATTCAGATCTGGTATCGTTGGGTAAATCGAAACAGCTTCAGTGTACGCAATATTATTGAAGTTTTAAGGTTGTATAACGGCGTAGCACACGCCAGGTCCGAAGGAAGCCCCAGAACATTCTTACAACTTGCGGTGAAACGAATTTTCCCTCGAAGCACCAAGAGAGATGTCACCAGAGTGGTGAGGGGTAACACAGAACCCCACACCACTGACAGCGATTCACGCAACGCCAGGCGCACAATTCTGGTTTTCTCTCGGGTGGGGGCGCGAATACGTTTCCCTCCAATTGTCCCGTCGGATAATACGAAGGGCGATCAAAATTATTTAAACGGAGGATTGGCAATTGGGTTAGTAACTTCTTTGCGTTTGTTTTGAAACTTCAAAATTTCGGCATAATTTTATTAGGAGAAAAGGTTTTTACAGATCGACCTTACAAGAAAACACACAGAAGGATGCTCTGCCGATTATGTTAGAACGATATCAGATTGGTGTGAAACGTAAAACGAAGTGTCAACTGGTAACATCGATTACTCAGCGTTTCATTGCTCATACTAGACTAAATATGAGTTCAGTTAGAATAAATACTAGAAAAGGAACGGACAAGCATTTGCATCGACACATAAAAGAAGTACGTTCAGGTGATAATTCTTCCGTTAAACCGAAAAGATAAAAACTATTTTCTCAAGAAAACCTCGCGTTAAAAACACTATTTTCATTTTTAAAAAAAGTAAAACGTGGGACTTGCGTGACAGAAATATAATCTACATACGTATTCTTGAGTCTAGAATCCCTTCGCCGCTATTACTAAACTTAGAATCATTCAGATGCATGAAAGTACCAACAAGCGAGGTTAGGAACACTTGAAAATAGAATTTTCCGCTCTTGAGTAATACAAAAGTCCTCTACATCGATAAAACAACCGGATTTGATTTCATAATATTGCTAACAAAGTAGTAAACTAGCTCCCTCGCCTCTACTCAAAGCTACTATATCTGTTATGCTAGCAAAAGAGCAGCTCCACTAAACAAACGCGTAGTAAAGTTATTCAACACAAATTGATATTTCATCTTCACAGGCAGGCAAATCCGGCACCAATTCCTATGCGGCTGTCGGGAACGCTAGTGCAATAAAAATGAAAAATCTAAAACGTCCATATATCAGCAGCGTGTTCCCTGGCGGGGATTGAAAACTATTCGACACCGCCTGGCCATTCCGTATCTCAAACGCCCTTTCGAGAAATTTCCGACCATCTGCCGAAGTCTGTTCAATCTGCACACTCCCGGCCCGGCGCTTTCACTCGCTCATCTACATACGCCTACATTCCCCCTCCCCCTTCGGGCCGAGTGAGTGGAACACGGCACTGCATTCCGAGTGCAAAAATGCAGTTTTTGACACTTACACGCTAGCAATGGCAATTCCCTTCGACGATGCATCGTGGAAATGTTAATGGTATTAATACGGAAAGTGACTGACCTTCCGCGAACAGCAACATTTTCACAGGGACCTACTTTTGAGCAGATCACGTTTCAGATAAGCCTGCAAACTCTGTTCGACGGGTTGAATTCAAGTGCTTTCTATGCTATCACGCTCACAAAACGAGAATGATTACCATCTAAGACAATGATTTCTACGACTACAAATCATCACTGTATAAATTCAACATTAAGTAATAGAATTCATGCCAGAGCAAAGTGAATACATTAATACGCGAGAACTCATCCTTCAAAGCAATTGTAAAACCTCTCAAAATAGTAAGACGGGTCGCCTATGCTTGTAACTTACAATTTGACAAAATATTCCTGGAGAAACTGAAACAAGTACTTACGTTATCCGAGAGCTTCATTTTTATCTCGTGGCAAATATTTTCCGTTCGAACTTCACACCACAACACATTTCCGTATTACACGATTTTCAGTTACACAAACCCAGATAAAAGCAATGCCATAACAGGAAGGCACCTGATTGATATTAACCTTACCGCAAATTACGAAAACAAGAAAGAATCGACATTCTAGCCTCCCATGTAACATCATCTACTCAAAAACAGGCAGTTAGAAATCGATGCACGACTACAGAGCCGTGCTGGAGAGAACAAGGCGCAGTTATTTTCAGCCATTTTCCACACCCAAGTGCAAGCGACAGCTGCAGTCCGGTACAAGAAACGCCCATCCACGGCGGTCACGTAACAAAGTTTCGCTTACCTTAATAATCAGCTCAATCTCCGGGACGTCCCCGTTGGCCGAACCATTCTGGAAGGAATCGTCTGCCATTGCACTAAATCAAGACGGAATCACCAAAAAACAGAAGCACCACTGCACCAAGCACACACCAGAAACACGCACTAACAGCAACTCCCACACTCACTCCGCAAGGCACAGCGAGTAAGCGACGCCTGGCGGGTGAGCGCCAACGATGCAACACCCGCGAAGGACACCAGGCGATAGTAATGCCATCTAGGGAGAATATTAAAAATCCTCATGGAATATCAAAACTAGGGTCAGACGGCCAACTGTTCGACCACGAATAACTCTACGCTTTGCAGAAACTTTTTACTATTCTCTCTCAATTTATTTTATATTGACATTTGCAGTACTGCTGTTAAGTTTAAACTAGCATAAGAAGAGTTCAGCTGAATATTTTTTTAAAATTTCTTCCATTGTAATGTTTTTCCAATGTTGGTTGTCCTTGTCCCACTTCTAAACCGCGGGGTCTTGTGACGCATCTGTCGGCGATTTCTTTTTCAAAAAGAGAAAAAAAAACAAGGAAGAGTTGTCGATGCAACTTCTTAACTTTGGGTGTGGGACGCACCACGCAATGGTTTCTCCTTCTTTACACGAAATGCAAAGTTGTCTAATTGTAAAAGACATTCTAGACTGTCACATTTCAAATAAGATTATCTTACTTCAAAGCAAAATAATTATCTCTTCTAGTTCCGCTCATAGTTTGTTGCCTGAAATGAAAATATTTTCTCAAAGAAAGTGAAAACCACATTTACAACTTTTTTAATACCTACTTCCTTGTTGTAATAAGTAATAACTGGCCAATATTGTTTCAATGTAATTAAGGCAATACTTCTCACATAATTTTACATGCATTGTTGCACTTATAGAATTGATAACGTTTCATACAATTAACTCAAACGACAGTTCAGCAGCTCCCTAAAAAAGATTTGTTTTAATGAAGGGTGGATTTTCATGTACAATTTATCAACATAAAATGCTTACGAATACTTAATAATCAACTGAGAATAATAAAATGTTCTTAGAAATTTCTCTACTTAAAGAAGAAAATTTAATATATATTTGCAATATTATGTATATACTATATTTCAAAACAATATATAGTTCATAAAATTGAAGAAAAATCTCTTTAAGAATTTAATCGTAACAATTAAATGTTTTATTAAATTAATATTTTAGTGACCATCAAAGGTTTTCACATCCTAAAATATGAGTTTTTAGTACAAAGTAAATAAAACAAATGAGGATAATTAAATTATAACTTCAATGACACAATTAATAAATACAATTGAATTTATATTCAACCATTTACAGGTTTGCCAGGTAATTTGGGAAGCCATTAATTCCCAATAAATTTACCAAATTGTCAGCCATAAATAAGGGGGAAATAAGGAATTGATCACATTCACGATATAAAATGTTTTATTACATACGATTATGAGGCCCCTTTTGAAATGTCAAGGGGAAAATAGCCCCCCTTGGCCTCCTCCTGTGCATATGCCTATTATGACTATCAAAATACTAGAACTAAATAATGGACTCCACAAGCATAAATTAATATAAAGCAAACAATGTGCCATAAGTTTTTATTTTTCTTCTAATTATTGCTGGTAAAAAAGCAGAAGATTTACGTTTCAAAGCTCTCCAGTGCTCTAACTTGGTAGTCAGGTTTTTCAATGCACACTCAAAGTGTATAAAATATTTCTATAGTTATGCAAGATGTAAGTCATGGCAAAGTAAAGTTACAGAAGACTGTAGCTTACGTAATTTATTAACAAGTAACTCAACTACTATGTAATTGGAAATCTTTTCATTACAATATGCCTCTGCCCTTAATTGCCACTGTTGGACACATTTCACTTATTATTTTAAGCAGTCCGTTCCAAGGATCCATTAATGCACAATTTTTAGAGCATCAATTAACCCATCAATAACTGACTCGCGAAGGGTTCGGACTGATTGTTTCAATTTGTTTCCCCATGTAAATCCCAGCTTTATTGCATTAAATTTAGTGAGCCAAAGCAGTCAAGTGCATTAATTAGTATTAAAAAAATTTAAACAAAGAATGTTTCACTCTAAAATAGTTTTTCCTTTCATTTTATTGTCCTAATGGAGAGACAAATAAATGTTTCGGTAGTTGCATTTTGTAAATGATAAGGTAACAATGTACATACACCTCTTTAAAAGGGGTATTAATTGTAAATACAAGTGGCCTGCAGCACCAAAAATTCTAATTAATAAAATCACACAAAATAGTTTCCCCAAAGAGGTTGAGGCTTGAGGACCTTTTACATGCAAGTAAATCTACTAACATGGGACAGCCGGCTTTACTTCCCCTCCGAAGGAAGGCGTACGAAGGATTTTCTCGCCCTTAAAAATCCACGGCTTCGATCGGATTTGAACCCGCGAACTTGGGTACAACAATCCGGTACGCTAACCGTTACACCATCCCCGCCGATTTGCTAAATAAATTTAAAAAAAAAACAAAAAAAAACACACCAGGGTTATTATTTTATTGTAGTATTTAATATATTTATTTACACTGTACAATGAAAAATTACTATATTAACAATCCTGTTCGAAACATCATAAGTTATGACTTCTGTTGACATCTCTTATATCTAATTGTTGAAATTCTGATAGTGTGCTGTGGTACAACGGAGTTCCTTTGAGTACCTGTGAACTTGCATCATTGATCTGAAACAAATCACCAAAAAAGATAAAAAATACTGAAACCAAAGCAGATAAAACATATTTATACCTTTGACCACTTCTGATTGTATTCATATTAAATACAGTTTGTTACCAAAGGAAATTTGTTTTGTTCGATCTTCACAATTTTTGCATCGTTATATGAATGAGACACATGTTAATAATTTAAACAGCACAGAGCCTAAAAAATGATTTACTCAAAAATTAAATTAATCACTAAAAACAATTTCTTAGAACTTCCATTTTGGTCAAAGAATAACCATTACATACACACATATTTACTTACATACATACATACACACATATTTACTTACATACACACACACACACACACACATTTACTTACATACACACACACACATACATTTACTTACATACACACACACACATACATTTACTTACATACACACACACACACACACACATTTACTTACATACATACATACATATACATTTACTTACTTACATACATACATACATATACATTTACTTACATACATATATACATACATATACATTTACACCATTACATACAATTTACATACATATTTACTTACACACATACACACATATTTACTTACATACATATTTCAATAAATGGGATGAACCCTTTACTTTGTAATCAAAATTGCTGGGTAAAGCAATTTCTGATATCTTCAGATTGAGATAGAATATATTTATACTTCACCTGAACGACTACGTAATCCCCAGAAACAATTGGCCTATCATTTCTTGAAAATCTATGTTCAGGGACACTGTCAGCTGGAATTATCACTTTAGTGTTGCCGTCATTTCGGCCAGCAAGGAATTGGTCAGACCGTTTGCTGCGCTAAAAAGGCCACCAACAAATATGCAAGTTAATAGAATTAAATTTACATACAGATTATATACCACACAAACCAGAAAAGATTTAAATGCATGCACTACAGACTTTTAGACAATATTAACATGGCTCAAGAGAAGTTGTTACCTTACACAGTATATTTTTAGGGGAAAATAGAAGAATTGGTATATTTATACTGATTTACTAATTTTGTCAAATCTTCATCTCAGGAGTTAAATAATTTCAGAATAACTGTATGCCAGGTAAGTGCATGCATGTCTGTTTGCAATCATGAATATGGACCATTGCTAGGATACAATGTCACCCCCCCCCCTGGTCAACAGCATTCACAGTCAAGGTATCACGTCACAGCTCAATTACACGTTCACAGGTCAAAGATCACTCAGAGCTCAATGTATCGACTTCACATCAAACGACGTTCACAGGTCAAGTATGCCACTTCCACATTCAATGATCGACGTTCACAAGTCATTATCAACGTCACAGGTCAATGTAGCAACTTCAACAGTCAATAATCAACGTCTCACAGTAATTATCATGGATTTCACAAGTCAATTATCGATCACAGTCAATGTACATTCACAAGACAATGATCATGTTCACAGTCAATGTATCATGTTCACAGTTCAAGTATCGATCACATCAAATACATGTGCACAGGTCAAGGAGCCAGTTCACAGTCAATATGCGATGTTCACAGTCCAAGATGCGATTTCACAGTCAATATCAGTTCACACTTAATGTACATTTCACAATCAATGATCAGTTCACAGGCAATGTACATGATGTTCACAAGTCAATTCATCATGATGTCACAATTCAATTAGCGATATTTCACAAGTCAAATATGCGATAGTTCACAATTCAATGTATGCATAATGTCACAATCAAGGTATCGATGATGTCACAAGCAATTATCGATATGTCACAAGTTCAATGGATGCATATTCACAATCAATGTATCATTTCACCAATCAATACCATTCACAGTCAATGTACGATTCCAATCAATGTATGCAGTCACAATCAAGATTCTCCCAGTCCGAACCCCGAGAGGTCCAGTTTCCCGCGCGGTAGCGCAGGTAGAGGATGGCTCGCGCAACCCACAATGCACGTACAAATCCAACCTTCAAGAACATCGGACGTAGTTCGTTGTGGCAGACTCCAGGTTAACGGTTGAAACCAAGTCCATCATCAAAGTAGATACTAACTGCAACACACAGGGTCGCAATCATTGCCCTGTGATAAATATGTAAAGGAAAAGAAATACATTTTAAATATTACCTAATGGAAAGCGATGAAAAGCCTCCAAACACAGAATCGACTCACCACATCAAACCATTCGAAAAGAAATAAAAAAGAAGGATAATAGCCCAGAATTGGAACTGAATCTCCCACTGCAATTCTGTCCATGTAATAATTGACCCGTAGTCATAAAATACGATTCTGATTTCTACATGAAAAAAGGTAGTCCACGGCTAAAGCTTCTCCAATTTATAAGCCAAAAGTAAATTCCTTGGTCCCAATATCTTATTCGGTATGAAATCAAGTGGTTAAAGAAAAGTCCAACAAACGCGTGCATAAGAACGACATAAGTGATTATCAATCATGTCAATAAACAATTCTAGGAAGAGAACGAAATCACATTAATAAAGTATAAACAGCTAAATTCAAATTTGCACGATATAACGTTTTCGGTCAAAATGAAAGCAACAAGGGTAGATAATAATTTCATCAGGAGAAATATCTTCGACACGGGGTCAATCTTCTAGCATATACAGAGACTACACCCCAAATAATGCATAATTGAAAATGAATCCTTGGCAATCTCCAACCACAGGTATGAATCAACAAACGTCCGTCCGCATACTCAAGAAAAATACATAGATAGCTCCAAAGAATAGAGCATTGAATAAACTATCTTAAGACTCAATTGACCGATAAATCAAACCTCTCAACCATGGGCAAGGCATACAAGACTAAGTTCTAGCAGCACACGGACACCCCTCCCTACAGTTAATAAACCAATACATTTTGTAATGAACTGCTTGAACGAAAGAAAGAGCATATTAGGAGCGAAATGAACATGAATCCCATACCAATTTGCAAGAAAACATTTAAACGCAATACAAAGAATCACCATCAGACTGCAAATTTCAACACGTGAAAAAAATGAAATGAAATGGAAAAATAAAATTGTATCGACTCATTGGACTAAATAATTAATTACCGAACAGATCATCAGAAATAACCTCCATATCATCAATTCTGAATAAGTTAAGTTAATACAAAATAATCATCAAAAAAACGTCCCGATCCTGGAAAAAAATCTGATTCCATCTAAATTTTCGCGCCTAGTATACGTCACGCCACCTCACCCACCACCGCTCCGTTTCTGGGAAGAGGCCTAGGTCCCTTCCGTCCCGCGGTCGGAGAACTCAGACCCGGACAGTATGCGATGTTCACAGGTCAATGTATGCGATGTTCACAGGTAAATGTATGAGATGTTCACAGGTCAATTCACACTTATCAATGTATGTTTTTTCACATATGAAAGAGTGACTTCACACATACGAGAGAGATGGATATACTCATGTGCATATGTATATGCACGAGTGTACATCCATGTATGCATGCATTTTGTAGAACGATACACACTATTCCATAATTGCCTAACAACTTACCCCTTCCACAAGAATAAGTTGCGTGCGCCCAATCTGTTCCTTGTTCAACTTAAGCGCTCCTCTTCGAAACAATCCCACCATTGCCAAAAGCCTCTCTTGTTTCACAGCTGAGGGAACATCATCTTGCAGTTTACGGTGGGCCACAGTCTTCTGCCAACAAAACAAAGAAAACCAAAACAATCATTTTTGAGGTTTAGATATTAACATATTACACTCTTTTACTTGACCGATACATATACAAAATAATTGTCTGTTAATGTTATGTTTCTTAACTAAATTTCTTCCCCAAATAACTAGAAAATTGAATGATCATGAGGCAAGGATATAAATTCAAGGTGGAGCAAACACATGTTCCCTTCAATAATAATCATCAGAGAATCATCATTATACTTTCAGAATTATTACATTATCTTAAAAAATATTAATAAAATTATAAAGGCATATAATGTATCAACCGGCTGTCCCCCCGGGCGACCAGCACAATAGACAGTGCACTGCACCCAGGCCATTTCCCTTCTCCACCCCACGGCCACGCACTTAAGCCCTTTGGCTCGCCCGACCCCGCGTAGTAGTTTTGTGGCTTCCATACAGCAAGTAAGGAATGGCTCAACTTACATTTCCAAGTTTTCTGTTTCAATTTTTATGTGTTCTAATTCAATTTCGTTCACTTTCCTTTAGTATTAAATGACTTAACACCCCCCCTTTTCTTTCTTTCAGTTCTTAGAATGTTAAATATATTTTCTAAAAATTGTAAATTATTAGTAACTTTTTATTATTATTTTGTTAATACAAAAAATATTCACGTTTTAATGTTTTTTTGTTTTTCTTCTTGTACTAGAAAACTGATGATGCTGGCTAAGCCATCGAAAGCTGCTATTTTAATAAATAATATTGTTGGCAAGGACAACGCATATAATTATTCCATTGGAAATGCCAAAGAAAACTCACCGCACCTATATTGCCCGAATGGCATATTTTCACCCAAAGAAGTTTTGATTCCCACTCTCTTAATGTTATTGATGTTCTTGGCAGATTTTTCCCCTTTCAAACAGACCTTCTTTCCTTATATTTCCTGGTATCAAAATGTTTTATGAATTATTAGATTGCCAAAATTACAATATTTATTACATAATAAAATATCATCTTCCTATTTAATAAAATTTTAATCCATGAGCACCATTTCAATTTGAATTGCCACACCTGTCAATTATAATTAACCCACCAATTTACAAGTTGTAAAGGGGTCTGAAGTTGATTCAGTATGGTTTGTATTATGACCAGATGACTCCAAAAGCTTTATGATGGACAGATGATTCTAGTAGCTTTATACGTAGTAGATGAACTGACATACAATTACTAAAAAACAATACAAGAAAAAACATGTCAATATCAAGAAATTAGTAACAAACATTTTTTGGATTAAAATTATCTCTTTGCATGGACAAAAAAGTGTATATGTATACTCTCAATCGCAACATTTTGTCAGAAATTAAGATTTTAATTTCATTAAATTAATAAAATATTTTATTTTTCATTTATTAAAAAAATTTCATTGCCTTTTCATAATATTTAATAATTTACTCAATATCATTCCACAATTTTAATCATTTCCATATGCTCCAGATAGCATGGAACTACGAAAAACAAATTCTTACTTCTCTCAAGCTGTAGGGAAACAAAAACGCCATGTGGTATTGCACACGCTCCATCAACGAGAGGGTGTCCTCAAACTCTTGTTCAGTTTCTCCACAGAAACCGCAAATGAAGTCGCTGGAAAGCGTGACGCCAGGAAGGACATCTCGCACGTGATCCACAAGCTCCAGATATGCTGCACGCGTGTAGCCCCGCCTCATGCGCTCCAGTACATGGTCATTTCCACTCTGAGCAGGCAGGTGGAGGTTGTTACAAATATTTGGACGTTCACGAATCAAATGCAAGACCTGCAAAATGGAGAGTTTTTATCATAGCCATTTCTATTCAAAGGGAAATATAATATTGCAGGGTTATAGACAAAATATAATATGTATTTAGTTTCTTAACAACTTCATTACAGAAAATTAGATTCAGATTACAACTTCATTGTCATTACCTATGATGAACAACTTAACAATGCTGTCATTAAGAATCTACAGCTCCTGTAAGGACTCCACTGATTACACCTCTTCACAGAGAGAAGCTAATGCTGACGTAACAATAAGTTGCACAGGCGAGAAAATAAACATATAACACACATATCTCTAAAACTGAAATTTATTTGTGGAATCCTTCTTGATATCTACCACGAATCTGACAGGTGATCCAGAGCACTGTTTTTGAACAGGTCAGTAAAAAGAGAATCTCAAATGAATGGTATTGTGGTAGAAGCCAACATGCAAAAAAATAAAAATCTTTATCGAGGTTTTGTTGCAAGGTGCACTGATTAGCGAGATCAAGAGAACTTTTGATTTGATGTTTGGCAAGTAAAAATTTGCCTTTTGCAAGAAACGAAAATTAAAAAAGGTACACTGAGAGACGTAACATCCAAATACAGAGACATAATAATAATAATAATAATAATAATAATAATAATAATAATAATAATAATAATAAAAATTTTAGCAAACATTTTCCAAAATGGGAAACTTGCCACTCTCCCCGTGTTAATCACAAAACAGAGGTACTGTATTTACCTGAATACAAGATGAGTTTTTCCCCGAAAAATTCCAGTTGAAAAATGCGGGGACGTCTTACATTCGCAGATTAAGCCTAGTCAGTTACGATTTAAGTTTTTAAATTGCTATTTCATGTAACGAAAATCGTAAATGTTGACATAACAATAAATTGCTAAGACTGTAAAAATATCGCATGTACCAATAGGTAATTATAATCGCGTTCGTATTCTTGGCATCTATCAACAACTTTTCAGGTACCAATAAAGCGAATTTGTAACCGAATGGCATTGTATCAAAGGAAACATAACATGAAAATGAATGCCGAGAGTTTGTTACAAAATTAGGGGGTTATCTTATATTCAAAGTAGACTTATATTTGGGTAAGTACGCTATTATAGTTTGCAATTCACAACTCTACCACATGAACATTGAACACTGTGGATGGCAAAAATTTAATGTTAAAGAATTTAAAGAACTGTAGGCCATGAACAAACTCGCAACAGGAAGAAAATATGGCAATTCAGAAGGGAATGTTCTTAGGTGGCATCAGTTGAAAAAGAAAAATTCAATGCACAAAACTCTTTGGATGAGTCTTTGTCAGAGACTGTCACAGTATGGGAGAAGGATCAAAAAGAAAGAAATAGTGATAAATACAATAACAAAGATTATAGTGACAAACACCATGATTATTATGATTTTAAAGATCGAGAAAATTATGATAGCTCAGGCAGTAACTTTTAACATTCTCATCAGCAAGATAATTCACAACTTTGCAAATTCATTTGGGCTAAAATTAAGAACTAGTTTTCATTTAAAAAAATCTCAAAAGGCCTCCTTATATTTAGGGAGACATCTTATATGCGGGTCTACTTATATTTTCTTCTTCGTGTAACAACTTAATTGCCATTATTTTACTACAATCAACAGCTTAACAATGTCATCATGTTAAGCTGTTGACAAGTACAAAACAGATTCTTCACCATTCAAGTAAGAAATGTATTGCCCACCACACTTAGACGAGATTGGCACAAAATAGCCTATCTGTACATTATGTTTTTTTCTGTAGGATAATTGCAATGGTTATTTTCATGGAAAACCCCTTTCATTTCAATGTCAATAACATATTTATTTTAATTGGGTTGTCTTAGTACTCCCTCTCCGTGATGCAGGCACTACTTCCTTCCCATGGATACAACCTCTGCAGCAACCACTGTACATTATGGCAGATGAATTTGTGCTGTTAAATAGCTAAGATGTATTTGATAGTTCTCAAAACGCATTCTGGCAGGCATGGTATCTATCCACCATTGTGAAATCTTTCCAACACAGTTCTTTTAATGAATTTGTTTCAAAGCAGAAACATGAGCTACCTACATTACTGTTGTCTGGAATTATTATTAACGGCCGCATACCAATACCACAAAATCCCAGGAAAATTGAAATATAAGCCAAGAAACATTTTATATATTTAAAGTTTCATTTCTTCAAAGAACTAATTCCACATTCACACATTGCTCTGAACATTCACCTGTTGCACAACTGTTCTTTACATTAAGATTCTAAAATACGATTATAACGAGTTAATCAGAAAGTTTGGCTGTAAGCGAAACCCAAGTTTCCACAAAGCAACTTCATGTGGCAATGACTTTGATTTGTTTTCTAAGAATGTGATAAGCTTTTTATTGGGTTTAAGAAATGCTCTAACAATTAAAAGTTCTAAACGATAAAAGAGTAAATGCTTGTTTAAACAAAGCTGGAGGAAAAATCCTATATAGGTTCCATCAATAATACCCCTCATTTTTACGCAACGGTTAAATAAAAAAAGAAAAAGGTCATTTAGTAAATTAAAATAACATACTTCATCTGGAAAGTCCTTTGGATGGGGAGATGTAAAACGTATTCTCATCTCAGAATTCACATTTGAAACTTTTTCCAAGAGGTCTGCAAATCTGAGGCCTCCGCGTTTTGGTCTGTAAACAGTTTTGAAACCTCTAGACATGTGTGTTTCCTCATCAGTTGATGCACTTCCAAAATGGTGCACTTCTGAAAGGTCTCTGTAACTGTTCACATTCTGGCCTAGAAAAAGCCAACGCCCATTAATGTCAACAATAAACAATTATTTTTCTTTGAATTAAACATAAATGATTAAAAACTTGTTACTTCATTCAAATAATTAAACTTCAGATACCAAGCTCCACTTCAATGAGTACCCTCTACCTCTTAGATTCTAACAAGCTATTCAAGGAACCTCTGTTAAGGTGATGGCCTCCCTTTCCTCTCACTGGCTGAGCCTCGCCAACTTTCGTTTCATACTTCACTCATCCTTCTCAGGTCAGGCCACCATCGCGCATCCCCGACTTTCATGCCACAGTGGCCCATTACCCCGTATTTCGGTACATACTTGCCAACTAAGCACTAGAATAAACAGTGAGCCCTGAGTGCCATTCGGGAATTAGACGATTACAGGACCATGTCACGCCTTGATTTAAAGATAACAATACTCAAGTTCAATCATGAATTATGTGAACTGAAAGCTGCGAATGAGTTTCTTGCTGATGATGTTATGAATTTGAAGGATAGTATGCAAGTTCGTCTACTTTACCACCAGATTCTACTTCTGATATTGAATCATAGTATACAAAAATTCAAGATCACATTCATTGTTTGAGAAATATTATCATGTACAATGTTGCAGAAAAATTTTACCTAACTAAACAACTTGATGATTTAAACTTTAAGTAAAAGCAATTTTGTCCCAAATCTGTGACTTAAAATTTGACACTTCTGAGGACACAAGAATGGGTGTTGCCCCAGGCGAATACAAACCATGGTTCACTTTGAAATCAAGATCGTCTGCTTTATACTTTGCACCAAATATATAGGAATCAAGAAATATGGGCAATTATGGGGCAGTTGTTACATTTCGAAGGGGAAATTTATAATTTAGGTAGAGAGACAAGCAAATGGGCTAGGATCAGATTCTCTTCAAAAGTAAGAATTTTCTTTCTTGAAAGCAGTACGAAGAGAATTAAGAATATTATATGTATTTAATTTTCTAACACAATAGTATTGTTAAAATGTAGATATTTTATTTTGCATTTAGATTTTTCATTTTCAGTTCAGCATTTTTCTCATTATACATTTTTCCCTTTTGTGTACCGAAAAATGTATAAATGAAGTTTCACTGTAAATCTTATATTTTCCAAGACATTAACACATCATCTGGTACACCACAAGGTTTATATCTCAGTCCCCTATTATTCTTACTTTTTATTGACGATTTGAAATTCTTACTTCCTTTGTGTTAATAAGACCGATTCAATAATATACCTCATCTGTATGGTCCCCTCACTACCTAAAATATTGTAGTCAACTTGAATCTGTACAACACAAATTATTTCATTATATTGCTTGACATCTAAAATTACCCTCTACAAGAGTTTCAATCAATAGCCTGTTTATTTAGTATCAGCACATTATAATCACAGAGAGACTATAATGATGTACTGTTCCTATATAACCTTCTCAACAGCAGAATCAATAGTGGATACCTTTTATCACTGTTATCATACAAAATTCCATCACACTATCTTAGAAATATTAATACTGCAACTTTCTTAATACCACAAGCTACATCAAAAGTATGGTTACGCGCTTCCACATGGTGCATATGTAAATATTCTAATAATTATATTAACTGTACTCAAAGCAATTATTCATCTAATCTACAAATGCATTTATAAATATTTCTAAAAATATTTTGCCTATCACTGGACTTCTTGTATTTATTGTCACTATTGTTCATGTTTGTCACAATTCATTCATAATTTGTAAGATTAATTAACTTTTGTAATTCTATATAAACATACTTATTAATTTCCCCTTGCATAAATTTGCTCATTATAGAACTTGATATTGGGTGATTATCTGTTCTTATCTAAAATAAAATATATTCTGACAGTGCAATGCATCTTTCTAGCACAATCACATTGTTTTTTTCTTCAATTTCAATTGAATCAAAAATTGATCATTGATTCAAGCATTTGATTGAAAAATAACTATTTCATAGCTTTTCTCCATTTTCATTTATTGTTCAAACAAACAGCTTACCCAACAAGGTGACTTCCTTCACACCCTCTTCTGACAATTGTCGAACTTCTTCTAGAATAGAGGAGAGAGGACGTGAGCGCTCGCGGCCACGAGTAAAAGGCACAATGCAGAACGTGCACATGTTGTCACAACCCCTCATGATTGACCTGAGCAACACATCTGTATATAAACAAAAGGGAATGTGTGTATGTCTGTTTCACATAGACACAGAAACTACTTGTCTGATTTTGCTAAAATTTCCACACTTTGTTTTTATTAGTATCAGGAGTATTTAAACAGTGATTCAAATTCAATCGGACATGAGGTGGCATTGTTGATTATAATTTATGTGTTTATGATGACTCATGTGCCCTTGAACAGAAACTCTACACAACCTGATGCACTGTCTTGTATTAAGAGAGTTTTTCCTTGCATATTCTGCACCTACAATTGTGAAACATCAGACAGAATTATTACTTGAAGATTACCATGGACAAGTAAATCAAATTTCTCTAAGACAAGCATTGCAAAATGCACTAATCATGAGGGAGAATGTTTTAACAATTGGATACTTGACATCCACATCCAAACCAGGGCATAGAACGATCTCATACTTGCAAGAAAGTCTTTCATATATTATTTTTTCAGAGTAGCATAAAACATGGTTAACAACTACATTACCAGTAGCATATGAAGTGTAATACACTGCAATAGCGAAGCATTGCCACTAGTGAAGAAAATAAGCTTTACACAGACAAACAATTTTTTTTGAGTTGAGAATAATTCGTTAACCTTACCTTCATCAAGGTATAAAGATCCTATGCATAACCAAGTTGGGACTCCACACAGTATCACTTAAATTTGGATTTTATTGATGTTTTTGTTGATATTGATTAAAAAATATAATGAAAAAGTGCATTTGTTAAAAAAACATTGTGATAAATTGCATACAATTTTGAACAAAAAACACATTATAAACAATTGCATTGATTTTCTGCTTCCTAAAAACATTGAAATCTATGAAAAACAAACATTCATTGATGGGTCCCCCACCTCCCTTTGTAAATGATCATCTCTGAGGACACCCTTAGTAATGTTAGGGTTAATATGAACACCAGAAAGGTACATTTTTACGTGTGGGGCTTTCATATTGTATGGGTAAAATAATATCAGTATATTTTAGTCTGGTGTAAGAACTATAGATACTAATTTTTATTGCCCTGTAATATTCACATGTTTTGTTGTATAGTAAAACAGATTAACAATATCACTGCACTGTCTTATTAAAATCAAATTATTGTATTTGAGAAAAAAATTGTAAGAAGAAACTTGAAGCCACATTTTGAGACAAATTTGAAAATATTCTAGAGGCTTCATGTTAAATAACCATAAAAATTACCAGAACCATTTGAAAATTGCAGTGTCATAACTCAAGCCACATCTATCACGGTTTAGTCAATTTTGAGAAAATCCAAAAACAGTTTGGATCCTAGTGTTGTTCACATATGAAAGGATAAACAAATTTTTGGAAATATTACATTTTTAGTATCAAGAATCCCCCAAACAAAGCATTTCAGACTAAATCTTAACCTGGAATTTTTGCTGCATTACATTCTTTTCTCTACACCATATACACTCTGTGTATAGAAACATTCAAGAAAGTAAAATGCAGAAAATATTAACACTGGAAAAACAAGTCATTCAAGATTCCTGTTTCAGAATTATATTGCTGCACAAGTTAACAATTTTCTCATGGTGTGCTGCATAACCAAGTATAATTGTGGTAATATGTAGTTGTATAAATATAACTTTTTACAACTGCTCACCTGCTGAATGGTTACATAGCTAATAGACATACTTACACAAATGCTGTAACAGAGTCCTGGTTTAAACGAACAGGCATCACGTCCGCGTAAGTTTCATCCAAAGAAAGCAACACATTCACAGCTGTCTGGTTGTTGTCAGTGAGTGCCAAAAGGCGTGGAAGGTCCTTATATGCATCAGGTCCGGCAACCAAATCCACTGCACGCTCCCTCTCCAACAAGCGCTCTTTCAGCCTTTCTGCCATGCAACCTGCTCCAACATAGCCAGCAGGCACACATCAGTGGCGGGCAAATTCTCTTCACATGTTATATTTTTCATTTCACTACTATTTAATCTTTTGAACAGATGCTTAGCATACTAATGAAAATAAAATGGTTTTTATTAGAATACAAATGCATATTTTGACATTCTGATGTACCTTGAGCATAAAAGTGAATAATCACAAAACTGACACATTTTTGGTAGTTACTTCTAAATGAAAACAATTATGTAATTAGAATGAGCTATGTTCAGGTGAAATACTTGACAGGATATTATGGAAATGTATAATAGACTTGCTGACACCTCACTAATGTTAACAAATGAAGTGTCCAAACAAAGAATTTCATAGAGATTACATACTGTATGTACGTTCATTATATAAAAACTAATAATGGTTGAAACAATACATGTAAATCAAGTGGGATTTAGCATCAGATGGTCTGCTTGATGGTCAGTTTCTTGACATCAATTGTGCACCAACTCAAAAATAGTGCCTTAAAAACCATTTCTTGATATTTCTTAAAATTCTAGTGCCATAAAAACTATTTCTTGAGATCAAACATATGTTCCTCATGTCATAAACACTGATGAGTTGTTTTTATAACTTCTCTTGCATTTGTTGGGGATATGCTATTGTGGAGAGCCCAATTCCTCCGTAAGAGTAGGATGTGGAATATCTTTAATTCTATGAAAGTATGATTCGTAATCTAATTTTTCCTTCTAATGAATAAGCGGAGAAAAGTACTTCGAGTGACTAGTCAGGTAAAGAAGAATGTCAAAAAACTACATTTAAATAAAACTTTTTCTATACAGTAAAAGTTGCTCAATGCCAAATCACATGGGACCAGTACTTCTTTCCCTAATAGACACGATTCCAGGAAGTACAATGTAGTAATGGAAAATTAACATTTGCTAGGACCATGGTTTATGCTCACATTAGACAGATTTCTGTATTATCTGCATTGAGCAATTTTTCTGTAATTCAGTAGAACCTCCAGCATCCAATGTCCTTTCCTCTTTTTAACCTCCTTGAATTCTTGACTCTCACTTAATGCTGAACCTCAAACATTATTGTAGAACTTCAATGTAATATAGTATAGTATTCATTCCAGTGGTGGCCAGTACGGAATTAGTGATGAGACATCAATAACAAAACACACATGTTGCCAACTATTGATTTCCAAAATTAAAATATCTATCCAAAACCATTTATGTTTTTAAATTAGGACATGATGTTCTAAAATTGGTTTATCTATTGGTTATTGGGTATATTGGTTATTGGTTTATAATATTGGTTATTGGGTAATCTCTAAAATAAAATTAGTAGGAACCAAAATTTAATTTTACAGTGACCATGTTTATTAATTTATAATAAAGATTAAACTGAAAACAAACTAAAAATATTGTAAAAAAATTAAAATACTTAGTCTGAAAACCTGAGTGCCTACAGTAATCTCACGAGGTTACAGCTTCCCGAGTTCGCTAAAGAAGGATGTGGGAAGGAAAGGGGAAGGCTTTCGCTCACAGCATACGCTGCCTCTTCATGTCCGATACACAAGGAAAGGCGAAATACCAGGATATCCGGGTCATCCTGAACAAGGGAGAGTCTGCAGCACTATATCCTGTGCGTTTGAAGAGAGAATTAATAGAGCATCGAATGACAAAGCACTCATTCAAATTAATTATTATAAAGAAAAACATTTGGAAAAATCTATATTTTAAACATGCATTTGTGGTGAAAAAATTATTTTCTATCCTTTTTGTTGGTGGGGCTACTGGCACTGTAAGCCACTGCTGATTAATGCCACTGATATAATTCAAGTATATTATATATAAATTCTATGTTATGTAGTATGGATATAATAATTTATTTGTTTTATCAATTGTTTACTGTTCTCCTGATCACCTGACCTATTTTTGTACTATGTTCCAGAACTGTGGGTGACAGTTATCAGGAGTTCTTCTGTACAACAATAGCATTTTGAAAGAAAATTCCAAATTCCTACCTATAATTCCAATCTTCATTGCTGGTAAAGATTTCTTTCTCGTACGAGCATTTTTTAGACCTTTTAGATATTCCAATCTGTTCCATACTTTGGTCTCAGCTCCTTCTCGAATGGCACAGGTCATCACGAGGACAATATCAGCTTCATTTAATTCTTCTGTTTTGGTAAAACCAGATTTTTTGAGTATTGCCCACACAACTTCTGTATCGTTCACATTCATTTGGCAGCCATAAACATCAAAATACACTGAAAAGTGAAGAATCAACCAAGAAAATTAGAATTGAATTACGGTTAATATTAATTTCTTCACAGATAGAATAACAGATAAAGTTGACACAATTGATTCAAAGATACAACATTTCATTTAAATCAAAGTAATTTTTATTCAAAAGATATATCTAGTGAGTTTGCAAAACTAGTTATGTAAAAGCAATTATTAATTATAACACACAGTACTAAGCTTCATTCATTCAAGCTTAAATTAAAAAAAAAAAAAATTCTGGAAATACCAACAAACAGCTTTTTTTTCCTTTTATAATATTAATTAATTATTTGGATATTAAACTTTATTACTTTTTGTAAATATACAAGTTATAATATTTCTAAAAGATATTTTCCACACTTATGTTCAGAACAAAGTTTATCTCAGTGGGATTTATAACTGTAATATTTTGAAATCAAAATAATAAAGACTCGGAACAGAAATTAACAATTCACATATTGAGTATTTTTTGTAGTGAACATTGAAGCACACCCTCTCTTCAAACTGAAGAAATTGTGGGAGGCAACAAGTCCTGCCACCCCAGTGCAGTCCACTACATGAGAAATTTAGGGATAAATATTCTTCGGAGTACCTTTCCGGTTCCGCCCGAGACCCTTCGCCGCCGCATGGCTTAGGTAGGGGGTGTTCTCCAATTGTGGAACAGCGGAGGTGGTGGCGGCGGTACCAGAAAGAAATTCCTTGAACCCGGGCCCCTCTGGCAAAGGCGCTCGTGCGCCCGAACTCCAGCACCTGACGAGCTGCCGAATACTCCGCCAGGACATTCTCGTGGCCAATGACCAACGCAACATCGTGCACACAAACACTTCTATGACATTTTTCTCATAGAAATAATACGTAAACGCGATTACTACCGGTAGTTTGTGAAATTAAGGTTAAATGGCACAACTATGACATCCGCCATAACTGACGAAAATTGTACGCTTCGCTGAGCACCGGATAAGCACCACTGATCAGAAGTCAGAGAGTATTTTACGGTATTTTACAGAGTCGGCACCAGAGAGAACATCCAAGAGCTCTTTGTGCTGTGAACGCACGGAACGTGCAATGCGTTCACGCCACCGCGTTGAGACCATTCCTACCCTTACGGGCATCAATGGCCAATTCTGCAACATGTAGAAAAACGGGAGGTCAAAAATGACTTTAGCCCGTTGGCGCGCGCATTGCGTGTTTGGAAATACTAAGTTTATGTTTCAAGTCTCATTTCTCTTTTTCAGATTACTCTTACACAGATAGTGCACATTCACGCCACCGCGTTGAGATCATTCCTATACTTGACACAGTGAGCTCTATATAAACTTGGATTTATTTAACCATGCATTTGATGTAATTCAGCTGTTCACAATTTCAGCCAATTGGGAACTTGAACATCCCCATAGTGATGTCACTGTAGTGATATATAAGATCTCGATTGGATGTAACAGCAATAGCTGATTTACCTCAAGTGCACGTCTAAATAAATTCTATTTTAATTGAGATCACTGATTTGACATTGACAGTTCAGTGGCGTGACCGTTTTTGCCATTGGTTTTTGCGCATTGTTAGGCAACGCCCAAAGTAGGTACCGAATTCGTAAACTATATATGTTACGCTTTAATAACAACTGTTTCTATGAATGTACAATTATTACTTAGGTACTGAGAAATATTTGTATCAAGTGAAAACGTTGAATATATTTTGAGCATACCTATTGCGATTCTCTAGTCATGAACTGTTTGCTGTAATTTATTCTTGAAAAACACGTCACAAAATCGTAAAACAAGTAATATCTACATTTTCTTCTAAGGTTTTGTTCAGTTTCCCTGGTCCCTTGAGCAAATGCTGAGATGGCCCGTTGTTTGTTCCTGAACAGTAATATATTGGCATGGCAAGCATAATTTATACTAGTTTTCAAATAATTTGCACCCCTGTTTATGAAAGCAGAAGCTATTTAACAGGAGAACAATTACCTTATAAGCTTTCTAATTAAAAATTATTGCATGATGTGTATTGTATTCTACATGCATGTTTGCTTATTATATTTGAATAATTGCCTAACCCTTGTTACACAAACGGTAGAACGATGCTGTCATCATTGATGCTACAAAATACATTACTATTTAATAACAATATTTAATGAAAAGTTATGGACATCAAAATTAAACACATTGAAGTGTTATGTGAAAGAAAATACAACATATTAAAAGAACTTGGCATATAACTATTGTAGCTCCAACGTAATTACTAAGCTGCAGATTAATAGGCACAAAAAACTAGAAATAGGCTGGCAAAATAGGCATTTAGCAAGGCACTATACATTTTTCTTATCTGTATTTATATACCAGTGTAGAAAGTTTCTGAAGTAAACAATATAGTTACCTTCATGGAATGTTTGCATCCTTTGTTGTTCTGACAAATCCTTGTATAAATCCTTTCTATCATTGTTGGGCATTTGAGACAGGAAAAGGTTGAATCACAGATGACACCTTTTTGCTTTTCATTAAATGCAAAGTGATTCTCGAATGCTGCACACTAATGTTAATGATTTTTTAATTTCACACATTTAATTTCAATTAATTAATTGGATTGTTGGTGAAGTAGATACCTTTTTATTATGATAAATAAAGATATTGTCAGGTATCAATATTATTTAATCGCTACGCGATCGAAATGATCATAAGTTGAATTAAAAAATATTGATACCTGACAATATCTTTATTTCTTTATCATTTAATTTCAATATAATTGAAAATGTATGGTTTGTTTTAATTGCCTTGCAGGTATTGTAACTAGTGGTGTTATGCAATAGCATATAGTGTTTTGCATTCTAAGTAAACAGATAGTTCAAAATTTAGATTCACAGAGTTCAACAAAAATGAGATCTGTGCCAATATTTTAAGCTACACTTGTTCTATCTGTGGAAAACAATTTAAAGAAAAAAATTCTTAGCGGTTTATGAGATTTTTTTTTTTATAATTTGAATTAATTTCAAACAGAAGCACTGCAAAATCCACTAATAAAAAATAAAAAAAAATTACATGACCTTTTTTAAAAATCTGATTTTTTATATCAAATTTCAGTGAGAACAAAAATCTCTGTATTCAAGGTTGTACTTTTGCAATTTTAAAAAATGCAGAGAGTTTGCAAAAAATGACCATCCTTTGATACAAAGAGGAGACAATTTTAAGGAAAAATTTGCAGCCGTTTTTGAGAAAAAAACTGTTTAAAAATTCTAAATAAAAAATAACTACACCACCAGTGATTTTGCAAAATAATATGAAATATCTGCACTGTGGTGGCAGTAAATTGAAAATATATTTATTGATAGTTAATTGATTTCTCTGTACTCTGCAGCATAACAAAAAAAAAGTACAATTTTTTAAATTTTTGATTAAAGATAATAGCATTTTGACCAATAAATACAAGAATATGCAACATTTAAAAACAAAATAGGCATTTATAGGCACTATAAAATTTGTGTAAATTACTCTTAATGCCTCAAAATGAATAAGTATCCCATAAATATTGCATTTTTCATTAAAGGAAAAAAAATAGGAAGAGGCAAAAATCCACATTATTAATTATATTCTACAAAACTTATAATTGAATCCTCTAGATGCAATCAAACAAGCAAAAATTATGACAAATAAATTTTGGAAATGCTTGTTACAAAACAAAAGCTATGTGGGACATTGTTAAAAAGACTACAGCACCAACTCATAATAAAAGGAAAAATAAAGAACAATTCTACAAAGAAAAACTTTTACAAAATGCACAAGAAAGTCCAGTTTCACTGGTCCATTGTGCAAATACTAAGATGGCCCCTTATTTCACTTCTGGACACTAATGTAACTTTGCTCTCTCCACCCAAGGCATCATATTGACTCGTCATACATGATTGTAATTGTATACATGACTCAATAAATATTATTATCATTATTATTGTTGTTATTATTATTATTATTATTATTATTATTATTATTATTATTATTAGCCAAGGCATTCAATGAACACGTTTTACAAATTAGTGAAAAATTAATCTCTTTACATTTGCAAAACAGTGAGTCACACCAACCAAATACCGTTGTTAGTTTGTCCCACACTATCTTCTCTTTACTCATCCTCTGAAATTTTTAAAATCTTAAAGCAAATGGAGTGCATAGTCACTGTAGGTCGGGACAACATTGCATCAATGCAAATATCACGTTATCACAAGTACTTAAAATGGTTTCAAATGCAGTTATCTTCTTCTTAAATGACATAGCTACTCATAGGTTCTATATCAGAGGGAAACTCCCCTCTGCCTTATCTAAAATTTGTCAAAACCCTTCAACATTATTGACCATCACATCCTTTTAACAAAACTAGAAATGCTTTGATACCAAGGCATCACAGCCCAATTGATCAAATCATATTTATCAAACTGTAGTTAAGTAATTACTCTCCAGCACATTAAACAAAATATGATCTCATACTACTGACCGCATATGATAAATTGTGGAATCCCACAAGGATCTATCCTGGGCAAAATAAATGTGATACCTTTGGCTTTATGAAATAACAAAATAATTCTGTTTGCAGATGACACTCACATAATCATTAAACCAAAAACACATTCATTAGAAAATGAAACTCACAAAACCTTGCATTTACTAGATAAATGATTTCAAGATAACAAATACAAAATAAACACCAGCAAGTCAATATCTCTAAATTTCATGAATTCCCAATCCAAAGAACAATTCCAACAGCACTTTCTTGTAAATAATAACCTTGTAACTATCTCATGAAACTACCTTTATCGGTCTGACATTTACAAAAATCTGAAGTGGAATGCTCACATCTCAGATCTTAACAAGAATATATTGAAATTTCAGTTTTTGCTCAACAATGCAAATTTGTGTGGCAAGTTATATGCCTGAGAGATATTGTTTGAAATATTTTTATTTTTTTGAGAAATGTATTCATTTTTGATTTTTAAAATAGAAGTATACATTTTTCTTACTTGCAATGGATAGATCATAAAAAAGGAATACAATGATGTATCATATGTTAATGTTTTTATAGTAATTTGAAAATAAAATTATACTTTTCGACATGTGATTTTAATTAAAAGGACAATATTTTTGTAACAGCCCTCGCAAGCGTTGCCTTCGGGGAAGATAGTCTTCACAGTGTTGAGACTGAGAGGGCTGGCAACGAAGGATAGAGGTGTAACTTCAGCAATCCATGGTCTTTGTACATTGGTCATAGGAGCAAACAACAGTTTTAACAATCAGAACAATAGATGTTTCCAATTATTCATCAGAATTGGACTTTTCTTCTACAGGTTGAAATTTAAAATCATTGATTCATAGCTCCACAAAACATTGCAGTCAGTTTGCTATTGCACACAAGACTGCAGTTGTGCATAGCTGTCAATGGGGGACACTGAGCAAAAGTGTAAATGCTAATTTATGTAATTATTTGTTGTTATCTGTGACTTATTTTATTTTTGTAAATTTACAATGAGAAGTTGAGTCACAGTAAATAATAACAAAATTTTTTACCTAGTATCTAAAATCTGATGAATTATCTGCAGATTATAGTGTCAATCTTCAACCACTCATTCCCTTTTGTTGTAGTTGAAATGTTTTAAAATGCTGTATTCTTCTTACAGCCCTTTGACACTGAGCTCAATTCGTTAAATTTGAAAATGACCTTTGTCTTCCTAATACTCCCAATTTCTTTATATTGTTTATTTCAATGATGAATACATTGTAATTTTAATTGGTGGAAAAAAGGTTCAATTCTTATGAATCAATAAAAAAATATTTGATTCTGTGTATTTATATTAATGTATGTTCTTGTGTCCTTCTAGTCAATACCATGGATTGCTGTAATTGCAAGTCTATCTGCACTTCCACCCATTTCAGTCTCCCCTGTTCCTGAAACAGCCTCGTCACGAAGGCCATCTTCCCCAAAGGTGACAATTTCAAAGGCTAGAGGAAATTTTTTTTGTTTAATTTAAAGAACAATTCTGGAAGATGTCAGAAAGTATAATTAAACTACTACCAACACAATAACAAATGATTCACCATTGATTGAAATCTCTTTCTATGATGTATTCATTGCTTGTAAGAAAAATATAGGAGTTCCATTTAAAAATCAAAAATGAATAAATTTCTTGAAAACTAAACATATTCTGAACAACATTTCTATAGCATATTACTTGCCTCATGACACCATATTGTTGAGTGAAAACTGCAATTTCATACTGTGTACCATTTAAAGTTAGAGGGGTGGGAATTAAATAAGGAACATTACATTTTTCCAAACAACATTTACATCATCAAAAACATTAATTTTTCTTTTAGAGCATTTTAGTGTAGTAGTTTAGATTTGTTAAAAATTACGAAGAAGAGTATTCTCAAAACAAATAAGTGACGAAGAAACAGATAGTTATTGTAAGTTGAACAAAAATTGGACAGTATAAGAGTTTATTGGATACAATATTCTTGTGAAACAACATTATTTCAAGTATATTGGATTTTCTAAATTGATAATAAATTGAAGGAAACATATATACATGGTTCTGTAGTTATTTTCTTTTTGAACTTATACAGAATAAACCAACCATGATTCAAAACGAATAATTAAAATTAAAATTTTGTAAATATATTTTTTTCCACAAAGTAATATGGTTGTGTGTCACTCCTAAGTTGGTGTCACCCAGGGTGGTCCCCTCCCTACTAGTGCAGAGTTATTCTAGGTAGATATTCCATTTCAGCATAGAGCAGTTTATATTTTTAAAAAATGTTTCAGTGTAGGCTTAGGTGTAATTCTAAATTTGTCATCAAAAGGTTGATTTTTCTGTTTGCAGAGGGACATACTGAATATAATGGCAGCATGCAGTAGTTGCATCTCACAGACAGGAAGTGTGGAAGAAGCAGATGTAAATGCAAAGGATAATAAAGGAGCAACTCCTCTACATAAGGCTTGCACTGCAGGCCATGTGGAGTGTGTGCGAGAGCTGACACGAAGAGGGGCAGATGTAAATGCAAAGAATAGTAATGAATGGACTCCTCTCCACATTGCTTCCAAAGGGGGTCATGTGGAGTGTGTGCAGGAGCTGCTACGAAGTGGTGCAGATGTAAATGCAAAAGAAAATAATGGAGCGACTCCACTACATAAGGCTTGCAATGGAGGTCATGTGGAGTGCGTGCGAGAGCTGATAGGAAGAGGTGCAGATGTTAATGCAAAGAATAATGATGGAGCGACTCCTCTGCACAGGGCTGCCAATGGAGGCCAAGTGGAGTGTTTGCGGGAGCTATTAGGAAGAGGTGCAGATGTAAATGCAAAGAATAATAACGGAGCAACTCCTCTCCACAGGGCTTCAAATGGGGGCCATGTTAATTGCGTGCGGGAGCTCTTGGTGGCTGGAGCAAGTGCCGCAGAGAGGAACAATGGGGGAAAGACACCTCTTGACCTTTCATCTAACGATGAAGTGCGCAGAGCCTTTGATGAGCTGTACTCATAAAACTTCAAGAGTCATCCCTAAATTACATAATGCTAAGGAGAGGAAGGGCATTGAAGACACTCCATTATGTAGCAGTAAGGGGTGTTAGCTTTGAGTGTAGTTGCTCTTTATCTCCAACATTTGCTGAAATAATTACTTTAATTCAGTCTTATGCATACATACATACATTTGAAATGTAGTTAGACCTGGTGACAGTTTATTAACAACAACAACAACAATAATAATAATAATAATAACAACAACAACAATATCAACAACAATAACAACAATAATATTAAGTAAAATTATTACAATTATTTCAGCTCGTATCATGAGATCTATGTTGGTGATACTAAAAGCCAATACAAGTTTACTTATAATATATTATATCGGCTAAGTTAGATTTTAAAAAAATAGGCATTGATTGCGTTCACTAATTTCACTGCACTACACTATATTCTTTTGCTTGCTATACTGAAACAAAGAAAGATTATAAAATAAATTAAAATGTTTTGATGTATAAATTTTAACAATAAATGGAAATATTTTTTCAACAGTGGTGTATTCATTGAACATGAAGACAATATTCAAAATTGGTCTGTAGTATATTTAGGAATCCAATTAAATTATCACTAGTCTCCTGCCATGCATCATCCATGATATTGTGCATCTGGCTTGATGTAAAAAATTTTCTTCCCTACGTGTACTTCCTTCTCTGATCGTTAGGTGTGGACAGAATCATCTAATTTTGTCTTTAATTAACATTAAATTTTAATATTTTAAATAAAATTAAACATTTTTTTTCTGTTACTAAGTGTATTTTTACTAATTGTGAATGGGGAGGGGGATGATGACAGAAACAGTAATTAATTATGAATTGGGGTTCAGGTGCATATCAAATGGAGGAGAAGGTATAAAAAAAATAATTCAAATTTGGATTACATAAATTTATGGACCCTTATATCAAATATCAAAAATTTAAATATTTTATAATAATCATATTAATAGATTTATTTACATATTTCACTGATTTAGAAACAGCGTTAAATAAGCTACCGCAGCCGAAAAAATCGTTTTTCCGGAAGATGCTGCTATTAATATATTTATCAACTGTTGCAAAGTATCAGAGAAAGTATCAAGTAATTAATATTTCTTACAATCGCAAAAGCATTAGCTTAAATTTAGGCTCTCTTACCTGGGCCCGAACGTTACGCTACTGAGATTTGTTCAAGATTTTTTATAGGGGTCGTCCATAAGTTACGTAACGCAATTTGAGAGTATTTTGAATGCCCCCTCTTTCCCTTGTAACGCACTCGTTACGTGCGCTTGAACTCCCCTGAATAATTATGTAACGCTTGCGACAATGCCCCCCCCTCCTTGTAAATACAGAACGAGAAACAAATTATAGCTCAGTAAAATAATTTGTATTCATTTTATTTATGTTGTAGATTTAAATTTATGATAAAGTCGTAATTAATTGTTGATACCGACTGCATCTAACAATAAGATTGGGGGCAAGTTGTGGAGTGAAGGAAGGACGCAGAGTCGAGTAAAGTTTTCATCATAACGCGCACGCCGCAGTCGTCGATGACAGTGGGTGACAGTATACTGCGTCACTTTAATTATATTCTTCAAAATACTACAGATCAGTTTTGAATATTTTCGTCTATTGTTGTTTTCCATTATAGATGGCAGGTCATTTACAAATATAAGAAATAAAACCGGGCCTAGTGAGCATCCTTGCGGGACCCCATTTGTCACATCCCTTGGCTCGGGGTGGTGGTTATTTATTTTGTTGTCTCTTCGGTTAGGTAATACTACAATTTGTTTTCTGTCAGATAGGTATGATTTTATCCAATTGTAAGCAATTCCTCGTATTCCATAAGATTCTAATTTTGACAATAGAATTGTGTGATCTATCGTGTCAAAGGCTTTTGACAGGTCAAGAAAGACCAACAGGAATTTCTTTTTGCTCTAATGCCATGAGGATTTCATTGCCAAAGGTGAATAGAGCAGTTTCAGTAGAACGATTTTCCCTGAATCCATGCTGTGAGTCAGCGATAATGTAACAGTATATCAAGTAGTTTTCTAATCTTTCATAGAACAGTTTTTCTAATATTTTTGAAAAACCTTACAAGAGTAAAATTGGCCTATAATTCATTACATCTTGTTTGTTATCTTTTTTGTGTATAGGTTTAATTACAGCAGTTTTAAATATGGAAAGGAGCCATGAGTTAATGATCGGTTGTATAAATATGTTAGTGGTTTAATATATTTTGACGAGCCCCCCCCCCCTACTGCAACCACGACTTCCATAGAATCGTCCGTTGGGGTGGTTCGCTGATTGCGAGCTAAGAATATCACAGGGCAGTGGAATCTTTTGGGATGTTGAGAGCCTATCCAAGAACAAGAACAGAAATCAGTTAAACTGGGTTTAATGATTTCAAAAAAGCACTTCGTCACTTACAAATCTTAAATCTTATGACTGGTGTGGAGGGAGAAGGGGTTGGTGGAGGTGTATAGAGTGCAGGAGATGGTTCTAGCTGCGAAAAGAGCCTCTAGGATGTGTGTGGCTAACTTGCATCCCAGTGTGTGTTTGCCAGCTTGTCTCAGGTGGAGACCATGCCGGATGAATAGAGTCTCTGAGAGAAAGTCTAAGTTAAATAATGTAATTTGTGTGTGTCTCAGATGCTGTGTGAGTATGCTGTTTTCTTTCTTAATCTTGTTGTTTCTAAGGGTGCCAAGGGGGCAGAGTGGTCATAATTACACTTGTTTTCTGGGCAGCCTTTTGTATTTTTTGTATTTGTTTGCTTGGCTCTAGCTTACTGCCATGGTTAATGTCATTCTGCACACCTATTATAACTACTGTGTCTCGGGTTGTAAAGTGCTGTGTCAGTGTTTCCAAATTGCTAGTCACGTATGCCAAACGAACATTAGGCTTAAAAATGCGGGTGACTGCGTACTTGGAGGGAAGAAGCTCTCTCAATTTGGAGGACATGTTCCTGCCATGGCTATCAGCTAATATGAACACTTTCTGTTTCAGAGAGAGTGTGTTGTCTTTGCAAGTTGTGTGTGCAGGCTTACTGGTTATAGTTGGTTTTGTAGTCTGTCTGGACACTGCAACTTGTGATTTTTTGTGTGTGTACTTGTGTAGTGGTTTTGTGGAGAATGAGGTAGAGGGCTGGTAAGGGGGAAACGGTCTTGGAGGAGATGGAACCTGTTGTTTGTAGGGAGGGCATTATGTGTGAGAGTATGTTGAAATGCAAGTTGACGGCTGGGATGGATTAAAGGTTTGTTTGTTTTGGCTCTAGAAATTATTGTTAAGCCATTAGTGTTTAGAACTTCCTTTTCTAGCCTACGGATTTCATCTTTTATTGCATTCACGTGCTGGAATGCAGCCTCTACGAGATTGTAGGTTCTCTAAAGGTCGGCGTTGAGTTTCAAAAAGGTTTCGTGGTGGTGCATTATGGTGTATGTACTTAGAATAGACTCTCGATATAATTTTGATTGTAAGTGTAATTTAGCGAGAGGTGTTTTTTAAGAAGATTTTGATTTAATCAAGAGATATAGTATTTAAATGAGTTTTGGCAAGAGAGTGTTAATGTAAGGTTAGTTACATACAATAGTTAGTTATGTGACATGCACACTTAAGATTACTTCACATGCACACTGCACTTAAGACACTATATATGCAGATACGTTACACTACACTACACTTGTGTGAACTAAATACACACTAAAGACGAATAAGAGAAACAATATACGAGTAATATATTCGGCACTGTCACTTGTCACTGAACAAGCGAGTGGCGGTCGATTAGAGTGTAAGTGATATTAGCGAATTAAAATAGTTTATTTCTAGTTTGGTTAATGTTTATGCTGGTTCAGATTACTTAATTAGTGCACTCTGCAAAATATTTATCACGGCAAATATCAATTGACTATATAATAGTGATGAAAATACGGAGCTAACTGTCTTTACTCTCTACACGGCCGACATCTTCAAAAGGGATTTCCGCGCAAATCGGCTAGAGAGCGCATAGCCTTGAGCGTCCTCAAAAGAAGAGGGATAAATCCGTCGAAATTGCGTTAGTTCGTAGATTTAATGCACGAAAATGTGTGGTGTATGGGTTCTGAGTATCTGCTTATGTCCATTCTGGGATCATCGTGCTCGAACGAAGTAAGCTCCTCTGTGACACGCGTGATAAAAAATTACTTGCGTTCGACGATGCTGCAAAATCGACTCAATCATATATCACTCGTACCCAGAGTATATCTTGCATTCGTACCTAGAGGTAGTTGATAAGATCGATATTGAGAAACTGATGGATAAATTATTTTCTAAAAATTCCAAGCGAGTGTCAGTTCTCGCACTGCGACATTTCAACCGTTTATCAATTCTAATTTAAAAAATGTCGAATAAATTACATATTTTATAATGTTATCATGTTTTCTTTAAGAAGACGTAAATACAAAAAACAATTACATGACTCCCCATCCATGGTACTACCCACCTGAAATTTATACTTTTCGTCGGCCCTACTGTGTATTGTGTAGAATTAGAATAGGTAATATGGAGAATTGTGAACATGGGTGACAATATTTCTGGAAGTTGAATTTTGAAATAACGAGCTTACTTGGATATTTTGTTGTTATCAGTTTTTAAGTAAAGAGTAATCAACACAGTTGCAAATCAATTAATCTAATATTCATAAATATTTAAGTGATTAATTTTCTTTAGTGCTTGTATGATATGAAACTATTTCTGAAGTCTTTCTTCCACCTTACTGCAAAACAGTACAATAATAAGAAACAAAACTTTTATCCTAGGAATTGTCATAGTCGTAATATTATCTCAATGAAAATATTTTAAGTTATATTTTTGACACAAGTTGTTAGTTGATGAAACTCTTTTATTGTAATTTCTTGGTTTAAGTGGAATTCATTACATTGTATTAAAAGGACACTTTTTTGTGGAAATTAAAATTTCTATTCATTGTTGTTACTTGTTTAAAAGTATCTAAACGATAATTATAACTATTTCAGGAATGTTTTTATTAAAATCAAATGTCTCAAATTTTATACAAATGTGCGGATTGTCTTTATTTTTTTCTTAAGGTAAATAATGTAATGTTTTTTATTTAATTGTAATAAAACCGTCACATTATTTTATAGTCTTATATTTTCGTCGTAGGTCACTACCATGGCTGGATATCCTAAATTTCGAAGAAAATCGTAAATAAATTGTCAATCAAGTATACCAAAATGAGAGTATATTCAAAAATACCGCTCTGAATTGTACACACGTA